CCCCCCCCCCACTTTTTTTCAGACAGAGCCTCACTGTGTAGCCCAGGCTGGCCTCGGACTCACAGCAGTCCTCCCACGTCAGTCTCTCGAGGGCTGGGATTACAGGCTGTGCCCGGCCTAAAGTTGCCCAATTCTTGAGACCTATTTTCTGTATCTGGAAAATAGAAGTAATTTCCTCAGTAAGGAACATGGGAGATGATGTATATAAGGGACCCTGCTTTGATGCTTGGTTTATAGGAGATAAATTGATTAGCATCTATTCTGTATTCATCTGATTTAAACAGCAGTCTCGTTGCTCGTGATGTATTGCTGTGCGTGTATGAATATGCGTGACGGCGTAGAAGAGCCCACCAGGCTTCGCACGACTCGTGTAGTCTTTTCTTTTTGGTACCGGGGATTGAACTCGGGTCCTTCCACTTGAAAACTAGTCACGGATTCTGTGGTTAGATTATACCTGTCTGATAGTTTGGAGAGATTTCACTATTTTAATAATTACTAAAACATTCGAGTTGGGTAAAACATACATCTGGCCTAAGTTGATTGTGTTACAACTGGTTGTAATGGCCGAACGCTGGGTGGGCCCTTCCAGCAGGAAAGCATGGTCTCCAAGCTGTGTTCTGCACCTCCCTGCTTGGCCCCTCATGCATACCTCTGGACTGGTGGCTTTGGGTCTTTGCAGCACCTTGCTGGGCTGAGGAGCAACGTGACCTCTAGAGTTTGCTTTGTTCAGTGTGTGAGACATTTTATGCCCATTGTGTTTCATGTGGTAGGCGATGTGCACATTGCGTGCTGCTCTTAACAGTCGGTGTGACGACAGGCAGGTAACCTGGGACCCTCTCTAGCTGTGAAGAGAGGCCCAGGCCACTGCGGAAAATGCCGCTTCCCTGAGCTTCAGGCCCTCCTAGGGCGGCTGGGCCTGGCCACTCTGTGGGCAGAAGACAGTGCACAGCCAAGAGGCCTGGCAAGAGCCGGAAACGGCGAGGGGCCCAGCACACACCCGGCCCTGCCTGCTGCCTGCCTGTGCGCACCGCACCCTCTGACCCTCAGCTGAGCACTTACATGAGTTCGCTAACAGTTCAGGGGCATTGAACAGTAGGGGTTCTGTCCTTGTGTTTTAAGCATTATAGTGGTCAAATGAGGCAACAGCAAGTCTTGTAAGGTCTGTGCCGCATTCTGCTGTGTCATCCCCTGCTGCCTCCCTGCTCCCTCTCTGGCGTACACCACTGGGCATTGGTGGGAGTTGGGAAACAGCCCTGTTCTGCTGTCCAGAGGTCTGCCACTGTGCTGTCAGCCCTGCCGGTACCTAGAGTCAGGAACGCGAGCGAGACCACCTGCACCCAGCAGCCTTTTGTCACACAGGGAAGAGGTCATGTGCAGTTCCGTTCCAGTCCCTCCGTGTGCGGGAGGGCAGCTTCCCAGGGTCACCGGGAGGGGTTTGGACTGCAGCCCTGTGGTCACAGGCTTCTCCTACAAAATGTGACCATCATTCAACCCGACGCGTGCCGCATGCCATCTGCTTCGTTACAGAACACAGAAGCAGCCACGGGAGAGACAGGAGGAAAAGCAGCAGGAGGAAGTGGGGAGGGGCGAGCAGGCTGGCGGAGGACGTGGCGGCCCTGCAGCGTGGGTTGGCAGCCAAGTTGCCCGCCACTCTTGAGAACCAGACCGGCGCCCCGAGGGACCCGAGGACCCGCAGGAGGACCAAGCGCTTCTTGTCCTACCCCCGTTTTGTGGAGGTGATGGTGGTGGTGGACAACAAGATGGTCCTGTACCACGGGGCGAACCTTCAGCACTATGTTCTGACCTTGATGGCCATTGTAAGTACAGAGGAGGCCGCCACAGGAAGGGGCTCCCACGGTGCCTGGGGAGCCCTGGGGAAGGCTGGAGGGAACTTAGGACACTCACGGGCTGCCTTTCTATAACAACAGTGGTGGCCATCAATACTGAGTGGTTGCTCTGCGTTCTATATGGCATGGAAGTCGTTTCTCATTTAAAAGGCTTAATTCTACTAGGCTGGATTATTGACCCACCTTATAGATGGAAAAGAAGCCTGAGTCTGGAGGTGTTAGGGCGCTGGCCAGTGATCATGCGAGCGACACCTTCAGTGTGTCCCCTCCCAAGTCCTCGTGCGTGGGTTTGTGAACTTCCACAGCCAGTGCAGCTCTGCGGTCAGCCACAGCCCTGGGAGCTTTTGGATGCACCTTCTGTGCCATTCTCTGTAAGGCCTTGCAGGGAGGTGGAGGCAACTGTCGTTTGTACTTCCATACCAAAGTGAAAACACGGTAAATTTGCATGATTAGAAAGCCCAACAGAACCCAATGCTGCGGTATTGATTAAAAGCAATTATTTTCTATGCAGGTTCCCCAGTGACTTCCCAGAAGCAACCATTATTAAAACTTCGTGTTGCTTCTAACTAGCTCTGCCCTACAGAAATACATCGTTAATTTAAAATTTTCTAGCTGGTGTGTGTTTCAAAAAAAAAGTAACAAGAAACAGGCAAAATTAATTTTAAGAATATATTGTTTTATATCCAAATATTGTAATTTCAGAATTTCTTAATGAGAATTCCACAGGCTGAGACAGGAGGACGGAGAGTTCAGATACAACCTGGGCCATGTAGTGAGACACTTATCAAAGAAAACTGCATGAAGCACTTCACTCGTGTTTTTCATACCAAGTCTTCAAAGCCCAGGGATGCTCTGTGTGTTCGAGGCACGCCTGTCTCAGAGTGGGCTAGCCATGCTCTGAGTGCTTGACGGTGACATCGGGGGTGAGCGGCCCTGGACTGGGCAGCCCTAGGCGGCTCTCAGCGCGCTCACCCACAGGGTCCCATCTGTGGCCCCAGCCAGCCACAGGTCAGGAATGCGGGAGGGAGCGTCTTCTGCACCAGGCATTCTCAGATGCTTCCTTGCCCTTATTCTCCAGGCAGCACAGTGACAACTGTGCCATCGCCCGGGGATTCTTAGTGAGCTGGGGCTGTGGCAGGCGTGTGTGAATGCCATTTCCCTAGGCCACTCACCCTCGAGTGTGGTGTTCTCCGGAGTCTGAACCAGGCTGTGCGGTACAAACTGGCCGTCCCTTCCACACAGAGGGCCGTGCTCACACTGTAGATGGAGTGTTAGCGAGGGCTCCTGCCCGGCCCAGGCCTTGGTTCCGTGTGACCAGGAAGGCCAGGCTGGACAGGCCACGCTCTGTGTCCACACCGTGGTTCCTGTCATAGGAACCTTGATTACAGACGTGAGCTTTGGCCGCACAACCGAGGCCCAGTTTCCACTCTGCAGCTCAGCGCCACCTTACTCACCGGCTCTGAACCCCAGCCTCCTCTCCCATGACCGAGGCTGTGACAGACCTGGTTCAGGGTTTCCCTGTTGGGACTAACTACAGGTGCTTATGCAATTTTCAGCAAAGATCTAGTGCACAGCAATGCAGTATCAACAGCACAGAGCACACCCGAGGCAAGTTTCGCAGGCGTTGGGGTACAGGCAGGTGCAGCACAGATAACTGAGGATTTCAGCAGATGCAGTCAGGGTGAGGCTCTGTAGATCAGCAACCAGGACTTGCGTGAGTGGGGGGGTTGAGCATAATTAACATCTGGTGTTTTGGTACAGAGAGCATCTAAGTTGCCTTAGATGTGATTTCAAGGGAAAATCCCCTGGAATTTGAACTTGCTCAAGGTCGTTATGATCTAAAACTGCTATCTGTAGATTCTTCAGAGACTTTAAATAAATGTTTATTGAATGAAAGAAAATTCAGAACTACAAAATCATGTGTTGCATGAAAGGTGAAAAGAAATGGAGCCCAGCCTAAGAAGTGACTGCTTATTGCTTCCAGAGAGTTCACAATTAACTTTGAAAAATTTATCTTGGTTGCAGGTAGCCTCTCTCTATAAAGACCCCAGTATTGGAAATTTAATTAACATTGTTATTGTGAACTTAGTTGTGATTCATGATGAACAGGTAATAAGTTTTTTTTTTCTTCTACCTGTATACAAAATGTCATCTGGGATTGGTGTGGACAGCGGAAACCAACCCCGACTCTTCTGTGTGTTTAGGAAGGACCTCCCATATCTTTCAATGCCCAGACGACACTGAAAAACTTCTGCCAGTGGCAGCACTCGCAGAACTCCCCCGGGGGGATCCGGCACGACACTGCTGTGCTCATCACGAGGTACATGGGTTTCTGGTGCCAGGTCTCAGTGCCGGTCTAGATCCGTCCTATGTCTCCAAAGTCCCCGGGAGGGCAGGAAGGAGATCAGCCGGGCCGAAACCTGCTGACGCCAGGGAAGAAGAGCGCCAGGCTGGCCTGAATGTGAATGCCCTCCTCCAGCAGGGCACTGCCGTTGGCACCAAGGTGGTTGTTGCCACCCAGCTTCTGATCTGTGTTTCTGGCTTGCGTGATTGGGCCCAAGGCAGAAATAGGAGTTTTTGTTGTTTTTTTTTTTAATGTGAAATCTCAGTGTTTAAAGGTTCTCCTATCTGGAAAATGTTTCAAGCACTGTAACAGAGCAACAGAAGGGCTCTGGCCTATTTGTGCCACCCATGGTGGGCCGCTCTGATAATGGAGTCATAAATACGGTTGTCGTGGTCTTGGGGTATGCAGGGTCCTTGCATGTACGCCTTCCCGCTGAGCCACACCCAGCCCTCTACTTGCTCTTAAGTAAACTAAAGTGCAAAGCATTTAGCACCTTCTCAAGAGTATTTTCAGTCTTTATAAAAGTCCAATTGCTAATGTAAGGCATGGGAAAGTTCTGGTCAGAGAGGCTTTTGGTTTCTCTCTGGCTGCCCTGGCAACACAGACTTCTTAGCAAAGCTTTTAACCTGTAACTCAGTGCTTCCCGGACTTTTCTGTGTTGCGAAGCCCTGGCCTGGTTAGTTTGCTTCTGTGAGCCCGGGTGCTGTGGTGAATGTCTGGAAAACTGAGGTGTTTGCATGCACTGTGGTTCACGCCTGGTGCTGCAAGGCCTGAGACCGCTCTGTTTCCAGGCAGGACATCTGCAGAGCTCACGACAAGTGCGACACCTTAGGTGAGTTCCCTGCGCGTGTCCTCAGAGGCCAGAACAGTTTACTGAATGTTTCCATTACGAGCCACAATCGCTTTTTAAAGTAAATCCTTGTTGTTCTTACCCCCTTCTGATAGGTCTTGCTGAGCTGGGAACCATTTGTGATCCCTACAGGAGCTGCTCTATTAGTGAAGACAGTGGACTGAGTACAGCTTTTACAATTGCCCATGAACTGGGCCATGTGTGAGTTTCTGCTTCAGAATTTCATTCAATTCCAAGCAACCGAAAACTTCTGTTCCTTTTCGTCAGTAAGCATTTACTTGACTTTGGAGGGTATAAGATATTTCCCATGCTTCAGAATTTCATTCAATTCCAAGCAACCGAAAACTTCTGTTCCTTTTCGTCAGTAAGCATTTACTTGACTTTGGAGGGTATAAGATATTTCCCAAGCCATAGCAGAATTTGCAGAATGGGAAGCTTTGCATCTAACTGGAAGAAACGACTGTGACTTCGGAAAGCTGAGTAGATGTAGCGTGCCCTCTCGGGCATGGTTCACGTGCCTCTCTGCTAGTGTCGGACGCAAACAGCTTAATAGTCTTCCTGCCTGCTGGGAGCAGGAGGCATCAGGCCTTTCCACCTCCTTCCTCTGCAGCAGAGGGTTTATTGACTTGGAGAACTTCCCTGACTCAACATCTCTTCTAAGAGGGTCCCCCAGCACTGCCCTGGCCCATACAACTTTTACAGATCCAGGCTACAGCTAATCCAGGCACTGAGCACCTGGGAGAGTAACAGCTTCTGTGAAGGAGAAGAGCAATATGGTGGGGAGTCATTTCCTAGTTAAGGTCATTTAGTGACCATTAGGAAATGACCTTTCCCTTTGGCTCTTTAGGGACAGGGCAGTGAGGATATGAGGGCAATCCTTTAAATTTTTGTTAGAAATTGTGCAGATTGTTGAACTGTGTTGTTTTCTGTCTAAAATGAATCACACTCTGTATTTTTGAAATGATTTTCTCCAGAGATTCCATCAGTACAGTAGAGCCATACATCAATTTGTGTGTCAGACTTTATTGTGTGTCTTTTATTATTTATTTATTTATTGTGTGTCTGACTTTATTTAGAGCTAACATCTATTAGCCAAGCAGTTTTACTCACATAGTTTTGTAAGATACCTTATATGCAGGGTGCTGTGCTAGGCCTAGAGCAAGATGTGCTCGCACGCGCGCGCACACACACACACACACAGGCAGCTCCGAGTCAGTTCCATAAAAATGGGCATCCTTTAAATTAGTACCTTTTGGCTATATTTCAAGAGCTCACCTCTTTTCTTCCAGTGAAGCACTCTCAGGTGACCGACATGTACAGCATGAGTGTGGCTTTCAGGTAGGAGCTGTGCCAGCCCTGACCTGCTTCTCCAGTATCTCTGTCCCCAACCCCAGAGGCGTCTTCACGGGGTGCAGGGCTCCTCGAGGAGCACTGAGTGTGATCCCGACCCCTGAGCAACCCTGACCTTGATGAAACGGTCATACCCCTCTGTGGTTCAGTTCCTCATGTGCAGTGTAGGTCATGTACAGTCAGCCTGGGTGTTGGGGTGTGTCCCAGGACCCCATGGATACCAGCATCCTGAGTCACTCGGCTTTCGTGTGAAGAGGCATAGCAGCTGCGTAGCACTGGCGCACACCCTCCTGAGCACTTGAAATCTGCTCTTGGGCACCTGTAAGACATAGCCCAGGATAAATGCTGCACAAGAGTGGTCGCATCATACTGTTTAGAAAATGATAACAAGAAGGTGAGAGTCTGTACGTGGCAGTGGTTTCCATCTGCATTCAGTAGAAGAAGTGCATGTAGGGCCTTCGGGGACCACAGGCTGACCGTTACTATTCACTGGGTCAAGTAAGGAAGTGGATGAAATAAAGTATCCACCGCATTGAATGTACTTCCCAGTGCACTGTGCATGCTGAAAAGTCTTGTTTACTATTGTTTAATAAGTGTTCATCCAGGCTGGAGGTCTATAGCTCAGTGGCAGAGGTCTTGCCAAACGTGTATAAGGCCCTGGGTTCGTCCCCAGAGCAGTAATAATAATAATAACAATAATGCCTTCCTTACATGCTCAGTAAGCATCTATTATTTAGCCCCTGCAATAAGCAAATATGCCTCATGTGCGACAGAAAATGCATTTTCTTTATATAACAAAATAAACTGATTTTACCAAGTCATGCTGGAGTAGGGAATAAAGACCAGCCCTGAAGTTGGAATGCAGTGCTTATCTGGCATTCATTAGTATAAATACTGCAGTGAGCATACAGCCAGGAACTAGAAACCAGGACAGACTTTCTTTTAAGAAAATAGACTCTTGAGCATTTAAACTATTAATTAATAAGTGCAACCAAGAAAGATTGAGTTTTCCATCCCTATTGTCCAATTCAGGGACCTACATTCTTTTTTATTTTTTGGTACCAGGGATCAAACTCAGGACTTTGTGCTTATGAGGCAGGCACGGCACCACTGAGCTATATCCCTGGCCCTCGGGGCCTACATTCTCCTAGAGGAAAACACACACACACACACACACACACACACACATATGAGAAATTCAGATGTAGTCTTGATGACTTTTCCCTTTTCCCCCTCCCAGTTCTGGGTTTGAACCAGGATTTCCACACCAAGTTATATCCCTAGCCCTTTTGACTGATTGGTTGATGTCTTTTATTTCAAGACTGGGTCTTGCTAGGTCACTATGCCCAGGCTGGGCTGCCATGTGCCGTCTTCCTGCCTCAGCCTCACCAGGTGCTGGGATCACAGGTGTGCACTGTCACGCCCAGCTGGACCTTTCTCTTTCCCCTGAAGCAGCCACACCCCCCTGACTAACTCACTTGTCCCAGTCAGGATGAACTTGTGCAGGGACTGCTTCGGTGTGGCGAGTGGCAGCATCTTCCTGGAAGACAGGACGTGGAGGCGCCTCTGCTCTGTCACCGGATGGTCACCTGCCTGGGCAGAGCACTGACTGGGCCTCTGGGCTGAGGAAATGCTCGCGTTGTTTCTCTCCCACTTCCTCTGCCTGAGCCAAGAGTGGAGAGCATGTGTGCTAAGGCTGCTGCCACATTCCCTCAGCCTCAGGCTGCTGGCAGCCCTCACAGCCCTCTCCGCAGAGGTTAGGAAACTGGTCGGCAGGTGTTGGCCCACAGTGCGGAACTGGTTGCCATCCTGAGTTAAAGCAGCTGGATGGGCGGCTCTGGTTTCCATGGTCACACGCACCTGAGCTCTGGGCTGCCTCCGCGCAGATACCTTTGCTGTGTGGAGGGAGCCTGTTTAGAAAGATTTCTGGCTTTAGTGGTGGATGCTGACTGACTTTATATTCGTAACAGTATCTCACCTGGCCGAGTTCTTGACTATAAATTACCCTTGACAGATTATTAGGAATTCCAGCCACTGTATCCTAGCACCAACTACAGCCCGTTTAGTTTCTGCACTTCCGAAAAGTACGCTTAAACCAAAGCATGTCCCGGTGTGCGTTTTTCGATTTGTTAAAGGCGCTTCATATCACATTGAGTGAAAATTCTGTTGTGCTCTACACTCTCTGGAGTTGTCTTAGCTTTGCTCTGCTCACACGGTTGAGGTTCTTATCCAGCACAACAGCCAGTTGGCTTTTTCTCTTAGATGCATTTTGGAAGCAGTGGTATCACCCGGGCGTCCTTGACGTTCTCCTCACTTCTCGCGGCTTTAGGTTTAACATGCCTCACGACGACAGCAATAAATGCAGAGAAGAGGGCGTGAAGAGCACCCAGCACGTCATGGCGCCTACCCTGACCGTGGACACCAACCCCTGGCTGTGGTCAAAGTGTAGTCGGAAATACATCACTGAGTTTTTAGAGTAAGTCTGGAGCTTGCTTTGAGCACAAACCTCTAGAATCTGGCTGCAGGGCGTGAACTCGTGGTAGGGGAGAAAATGCAGAGTCAAGCATTCCTGTGGGGTTGTTCTTTTGTTGACATTCTTTGAAGGAGGGAAACTTTCATCTGTGTAGTCCCAGCCTCACCAGTGTTTAGAACTTTGCAGACTGAGCTCATGAAGAGGCTTGGAGCTCAGAAGGGATGTGGAAATGACGCTGGATTTGAGCAAAGCTTTGAAATTTGCTCAGTTTTGGAAAAGCAAGTGGGATCTGTGACGAAGACCACAAGTATTTGTGAACTTTTCCCTCAGCCGTTTTGTCTTGAGAAGGCCTGGGACCTGGGCTGGGCAGGAACCGTGGTGTTGTGGACTCAGGGATTTTAGCTTCCTCCTAGGCTGCTCAAAGATCCAATTATGCAATGCCCCTTTTCACAGATTTATTGTCCCCTCCAGATGCAGGAAAGGCTGAGTGATTGTCCCAAGTCACAGCCCCTGGGTGTCTATTTCCACAACCCTAGGGAGAGGGGTTTGTTAATCAGGACTTGCTGGGTGTGAATTTCTTAGGAGAGATGTTTGTAGAGGAGTGAGGGAGCTGGAGGGCTGCTGTTTTTCTTCTTAAGCAGGCGGTGCAAGGTGTTCTCTCCCTGGAGTCACTGGTTCGCTCACTAACTCATCCCTTCAGTGGACATTCAGTAAAATCAGTTGCAGTGGACCCAGCCCCAAGCTTAGATGGGAGAGACACAGTCCACATCCCTGGGAAGCTAACAGTCTTCTGGGGAAGAGGAAAGCAAAATAGGCGGTTGGCCCAAATGTGATCAGTGCCATGACAGAGGCGTATTTCCTGCTGGCTGTGTCATATACATAGAATGTGGTTTGATACAGTGTTCACCAGAAACGTAACTTTACCCTCTAGACTTACCGTTGGTTGGAGAGAATAAAGCAAAGCCCAGAAAGAAACCATCTTGGCTGCCATTAGATTGATGGGGGACCCTTGCACTGGTCGGGAGCCGTTGACAGCCCTTATTTTCTGCCTGTTTCTGCTTCCTACAGCACTGGCTATGGTGAATGTTTGCTTAATGAACCTGAATCCAGACCCTACTCTTTGCCTCCCCAACTGCCAGGCCTCTTTTACAGTGTGAATAAACAATGTGAATTCATATTTGGACCAGGAGCTGAGTTGTGCCCGTACATGGTAAGTATTTAGGGGTTGTTTCTGCCCCTGACTATTGATTCTGGGCTTCTTTTCCATGGTTTCCCATTAGGTCTTCTCTCTCGTACACACCAAGGAAGAGGTGAGGATGAGACAGGCTGTGGTGATCTCAGAAGTGCTCAGGACAGGAGGACACCGCACAGGGCCCACGTTTTGTTTCTCCACTCTGCCAGCCGCCCAGGGGAGGCGTGGCCTTTCCCTTGGTGACTGCAGCGCTCAGCCGCTGGTTCCGCTTGTCCTCTCCCACTTGTCTGAGTAACCCAGATGACAGGGACCACGCCAGTGAAGGGCCTGCGAGGAGCCCTCCCTGCTTGTCAAGGTCTTGCCCTGGAACTCCCAAAGATCGTCACTTCCAGGGTGCCCAGGGGGGTGGGCAGTGAGTTTCCGTGCAGGGCCACACGATGTGGTCAGGCCAGAGAGGAACAAAGCCAGGCACCTGTAGGGAGAGCCCAGGAGACTGCATGACAACCTGGAGTGCAGGGAGTCCAGAGAAAGGAGCGGTAGGAGTGGGAGGGGCTCTGTCCGTATAGCTCACTCCGTGTTACCCGTGGCAGCCCAGGGCACAGTCATGGGAATGGCCGGCACAGGGAAGGTCAGCCAAGCACTCGCACCTGCATGTAGCAGAACAGCTCGTAGCAGCTGGAAAATGGCCTACACCTCATGCTCTGAAGCTAAACAGCAGGATAGACAATTTACAGTATGTGCTCAGCTTTAAAGTGGGGGACACACTGGGGTATATATATATATATTTTTTTTTCTTCTCCCGTACTGGGGATCGAACTTGGGACCTTGCACTTACAAGGCAGGGAGTAGAACCACTTAGCTAAAGCCCTGGCCCTTTTAAAAATATTTTTTGAAGTAAGTTTTTATAACTTCTCAACTTTCCTATCATAAGCATGGTTTATTAAAATTATTAGGAAAAATTCAGAATCTTGTCAAAGTGTGCCTTAAATAAGTGAAAGCTATTGATTGGGATAAATCTAAGAGATGGGCCGTTTGGAGGGAGAAGGAAGTAAGCCGAGTGTTTCCTTTGTGTGAGCTCTGAGCAGAGGGGACCCACATTGCTGGGGGGTGTCATGTGTTTGTGCCAGGACACAGGGGTGAAAAGTCGTGAGCATTGCTCAGGACACAGCCAGCTCCAGGGAGACGGGAGTGGCAAGGGAACTGGGCGAACAGGCCTTCGGCTCACCTGTGAATTTCTTTTCCTTAGTGGGGCAGTGGGTACATGAGAATCCATTATACTTTTTTATACTCTTTTGGATGCCTGAAACATTTCACAGTATTCTGTCTCTTCTTTCCTTTGACTCCCTCCTAAAAACCTTAAAAGTAACTCATAATATGATCATGATATTACACGGCCGTAACAGAAAAAAAACACAAACACTACCTCTGAGGTCACGCCACTGCTAGCAAGAGTCAGAGCTCCTCACAACTTAGCTCGCAGCCCGTGCACATACCTCACGTCCCAGTGTGGTGCTGAGCCCCCGGCTCCTCCCGGGGGGCGTGCAGAAGACCCAGGCGCCGTGACTGTCTGTCTGTCTCAGGTGTGTGGTGCCCTTTACACGCCTCTGTCCCACCAGGCCAAGAGGCACAGCTGGAGCTGCTCTTTGTACTTTGTGAGGTTTTCTCCGTTTGTCGCGCCTCTCCCCAGCCTGCCTGCAGGTCATTGGCAGACTCTGAGCGTGATCTGCTTTGTTCCTGCTGACTTAATCTTATCGTCTCTTGCTTGTCATTCAACTGCATGGAGCAGGTGCAGTGTAGACGGCTGTGGTGCAACGTGAAGAGGAAGGACCGAGCCTGCCAGACACAGCACACGCCCTGGGCTGATGGGACGGAGTGTGAGCCCGGGAAGGCAAGTAGCACCCATCTATCCTGTCGTGGGGCGGAAATGTGCAGGCGAGGCCCACACCTCAGAGGCAGGGTGCTTCGGTCTGACTTGTGCGTGCTTTCTGAGGAGCGGGGCTTGGCGTTGACAGAGTTTGAACTCCCTGGGGCCCAGCGCTCACAGCGGAGGTGAGCCCCAGTTAAGCCCGGGCATGCGCCTCTCTCACTTAACTCCCCTGAAGTCGCTGTGTGCTTCAGGGTTTCTGTTTTCTTCTCTCTTGCTTTTGGCACTGGGCCACCATTACGCTGCAGGAGCAACTCTCAGGCAGAAGGCATAGGCGCAGGGAGCGCACGGTGCTCATCATTGCACTGTCGGAGCTTCCACACGCCCAGAGACGTCTGCACAGCCTGCTGAGCTGCTCAGAAAGGGCCCACTGATTTGTCCGTAACTCAGCTGTATGTGCGGTGTGTGTGGCCAGAGTCACGTGTCCCGCACACCTAGGGATAAGGTGACTGAGCCTGTTGCACCTGGCACCTGGCGCGCTTCTGCGGCAGTAGTGCTCTTAGTGCTGCTGCCACCATCATCATCCAGAAGATAGTTGTGAACTGCAGACATTGCCAGGCATGGTGGTGCACACCTGTAATCCCAGCACTCGGGAGGCTGAGGCAGGAGGATCACTGTGAGCTCCAGGCCAGCCTAGACTGATAGCAAGACCCTGTCTCAAAACAACAAACATTATTTTTAGATATCCATCCTGCTTTTAAGAAAAGAATCCATAGGGTTAAGGACATTCGGCCATTTGCCAGCAGAACAACCCCTGGACCACATTTCTGAGGCCTGTCCTCTTCCTAGAGTTTCTGCTCCTCTCTTCTTCCCACTGCCCATGCACTCAGTAGTAATTTGTTCACACACCAGCACCTTGTGCTCTGCTTTACCTCGTAGGGCTAATTGCTCTCCCTGTGTCTCCTTGGAAGGGTTCCTAAGAGGTGACAGTTTTATTCACTCTGCTTGATTTTATGGAGACCTGATTTTCCTGGGGTCCTGTGGGTTGGCTGGGTGGTGCTGCCTCAGCCTCCCTGCAGTGTTCGTTCTGTCCCCGCTGCAGCAGTCAGGGGCCTCGTCAGCTCAGAGCGCCTCAGTCTCTGCTGTCACACGGGACCTGTACTTCCCCCTCTCCGAGGAGTCCTGGCCGATCTGGTGAAGATGGCTTGGTGAGAGCGCACAGGCAGCTCCTAGCCCTCCATGGCCCTCCTGGAGCAGCTGAACAGAAACTACACAGGCAGAGCGGCTCTCAGGATGCTTAGAGTGTGGGTGGCCACAGGCACGCAGGTGTGTGCAAGACTCTGCTTCCCTGGTGCCCTGGCAGTCGCAGAGCCGTGGCTGTGACGCTCACTCGTGTACAGTGAAGACCTCAGGGCCCTTCTCGCACGGCTGCTCACGGTCGGTGGAGGTGCCAGTCAGCTGTCCCAGGGCCCAGGCCGGTCTGTGAGCTCCGCACTTGCTGGTATTCGCTGTGGTTCTGTCTCCCTGACGCCCACCCGTGGGGCCCTTTCCTGACACGTGGCATTGCTGGAAGACCACAGCAGAGACTTGGGAAGGTACCGCGATGCCGTATGTTGGGATTGTCACAAGCAGGCTGCCGGCCTCCGCCGCGGGCTTCCCAGCCACTTGGGAACAGGCAGCGTGGAGAGGTCGGCTGTCAGTACCCTGACCTTCCCGAGCCATGTGTGCACCTGAAGCAGAAGTGGAGCCCAGGGTGGGGCTCTCACAGCTTCCAGAGGAGAGGGGTGGGGAGAGGCTGTGAGCACCTCTCGGGTGCTCGTGTCCAGGCAGAGCAGGGGAGGCTGGGGACACAGGAGGCAGCTCTGCCAAGAGTGCGGTGGATGGTGTGCTTTGTCTCAGCAGAGTGAAAGGCCGGTAGCTTTACCAGCCTTAGCAGAGACATGGGTGGGTAGAAACATTCGGAGCAATAGTTGTGCACCTCACCAAGGCCCCGGAAGGTAGATATGGAAGTTCTTTGTGATTTTTTTATTTGGTGCTGAGTTCATAGGATTGGCGGTCTATGCCTTTTTCCATGTGAGAGCAAATTCTGGCTCTCTTTGCTGCTGGGCTTCTCTCTCTCCCCCAGCCCTGTCCCTCCTTCTCCCCCTCCCCCCTCCCTC